TCCCTTTCTCTCACACACACACACACACACACACACACACACACACACACACACACACACACACACACACACACACACACACACACACACACACACACGAACGGGAGAGAAAATGCAGATCGCAGTGGGGATATTCCTTGGAAAAGGCTTTTGTGAACACGGGCCATTAATATTCTTTTGTGCCGCACAGCGCTGATTAAACTTCAGAGACACTTGGTGCTGGCCCCCTTCGAGGGAAAGTTCAGGACCATTTCTACTCTGGCCAACTCAGAAGGCCATCCAGACACACCAGGCTGCTGGAGGACGACCATCTGGCTCAAGCTGTACAATTAACCAGGAGCTTGGCTGGTTCTGTTTGGCTCTTTACCAAAAATTAGGTTATTTTTTACATCTTGGCAGCAGTTGATTTTATTCTCATGATGGCAGTGGAAGGACTTCATTTACGCTAACACAACCCCTCTGATAGAGCGGCAGTCGTGATAGTGATTGTGACAACGATTGTGGTTATCTGTGACGTTTCTTGCCAGACGGCAGGACGTTCCAGACGGGGGGAATTAAACTGTCAAAGAGCTGGAAAAAAAAAAAAAAACCCGTCGTGGCACAGGTCGAGATTAAAGCACCTAGCAGTTTAGTCTGAGGCTGCTCCGTTGAATGCAGCGCAAAAAGACGTGGCGTCGGTGGAGCAAAGGCAAACAGCAGACAGCTGTTGGGATAAGACCTGAGCTCAGGACAATGTCTGGATCAAAGGAGGGGAAACTCGTCTAGTTGGTGTCGGCCGTGTGGACAACTGCATTACAAAAAACTTGACTTTCAGGCTAATAATCGGGCTGTTACTTTCTGCAAAGCTGGCATACTTGTTACCTACATATCCTTAAATGTGTTAAAATCTAAATTCAGAGAATATAGTAGCAAACAACTATTTCCTTTTTTATCAAATAACTAATAAAAACCAAAGTTATCAGAAAAATGAACACTTGCATACATCGGTATAAGAGATTTGCACTCAGTGGGTTTGTCAGAGCCTTTGAGTCGGCAACAGTTGCACACAGCAGTTGATGAATGCAGTTGAGACTTACCCACAATAAATGTGCTATAAAACCAAAATAATGAGCTAAAAGAGGTGTAAAAGCCCAATTGAGCTGCAGAGCTGGGTGTTAATTCTCCCTGATTTTGGCCCCATTACAAAGACTCATTTCATTGAGTTAAGTTGATTCAAATTCTGTGAGGCTCCACTCTTCTGCAGATAAAAAAAACCTGTGATCCCTGAAATATACTGTATTAATTTTGACCCCACACAGCCCAGATCTGACGAAAGAAGAGGGGGATAAGACCGAAATCAAATGACTTCCCCATCGAAGCTTATTCTGGGAAGATTAAAAAGTGCGACCATTCGTCCAATTAGTGCAAGCTCCACCGTAACCTTAGAAGTGCCCCGGCTAATGCCTGTCATCTGATATGAGAAAGTGTGGAATGACGAAAGATCACCTGTAAAAAAAGTAGAGAGTTTGCGAGTAAACGCCAACCTTTAGCCGGTGGGCTAATCCTTCCGGATGCTAGTCACGCCACTGTCAGCTTTGCTACGCTAAGCTAAAGTAAGCTTGAGCCAGAAATCGCTCACAAGATCACAAGAGCTCTCGTATCTGAGACTGTATCATTAGAAAAATGTGTCAAGTCACATTACAGTCGTCAATTAGTGTCTGTAGACCAGGCAGCTTTACACTTTGCACTGCATTAGCCTCTACCTTGAAGTGAGCTAATTATGTGCGAGAGGCTTTTCCAAAACACTTGGCGGGGAAATTACCTTTTGTTTCTATCACTGTTTCACATTTTCCAGGTTGCAAGAGTAATATTTGAGTGGTTATATAGGCCAAGCTGCCGGGAGTGTAGGGCAGGTGTAGCGTTTTATTCTTCCAAAACCTTGTTTACCTTCCCAGAAGACTGAATTCCCTTGATCATGGCGAGGCAAACCATGGACCAGGCAAACAGCAGGCACAAGGTCATCTTCCAGTTGAGTCCTCCACCCTCAGAGATGCTGTCAGAGATGTTCAGGGCCTCGCGGTACCAGTAGTAGGTGGTGGCCGAGCTCTTGTCGCACTCCGGCTCCACATCTACGGACAAAACGGTAAAAGTTCTTTCCTGGTTGACAGAACAAGCACCATTTAAAAAAAAAAAAAAAAAAAAAAAAAAAAAAAAAAGCCTCGAGGCCTTCTGAAGATGCGTGCTCGTGTCTTACATGTGCTGTTCTTGTTCTTGACGAGCGGACACTCGTGCCACGGCAGAGGCTGCTGGAAGGACTGGGAGAAATAGAAGAGACTCCAGCCGATGATGACGTTGTAGTAGAGAGCCACGAAGAAGCACACCTTACGGGAGAGAGAGGCGGGTTCAACTTCACACAGAAGATACTTCTTATCTACCAAACATGATCTGCATACATTCAGTTCCTCAAAGTCTTTCTTATTACAACAAAGTATTTTCTGAGTAAGGTGTCACAAAAAAACCTTAAATACTGAACTGTTTCTTCCCTTTTTGCCATATTTAGACATCCATGAGTGACCAGTGTGCAGCTTCATCATGTTTCGTATGTTTGCGTTCTTAAAGACTGAATTTAACTTTGCCAGATAGCTGGAAACATAAAATACATCACTTCCTGTATCCTAGATCAAGAAAGATTTACGAGACGCCATAAAGTGGTTTCAGGTTACAAGTTTAATTCAATTATTATTGTATTATTTTTAATATGCAGCATATAATATCAAAATTGATTATATTTGAAGAAGAATAATTGTGATTATAGTCTCAAATGTTCTGCGAACATTATGTAATGAAATGTTTGGAAATGAGTTGAATTTTACTTTAGTTTGCCACAGATTGTATTTTCTGCAATAATCCCAGATCCAATGGAAAAATCCCACTTTCTGTTTTGTCGAGGGAACCAATAATACTACTACTGTCGTTTCAACGATGCTGTCGTTAACCTTTGTACTTCTGCAACACGTTCGCTCCGCCGCGTGAGACTCACCATGCAGCTGGCGAAGCCGATGCCCCCCAGCCGAGGGCTGATGTAGTTCCACACCCCGATGCTGCCCCTGCGGATCCGCTGTCCCACCGCGAGCTCCAGGAAGAACAGCGGGATGCCGATCAGTATCAGCAGGATGAGGTAGGGCACCAGGTACGCTCCTGCCGGTCAAAAACAGAACGAGTTGAACGAAGCCGTGTGCAAAGAAGCGGAAACTGTGTCATCAGATAACCGTGACGCCATCGCAGTTCCTGAAAGCAGCACGTGGGTACACGCACTTTCACACATGTCTGTATCTGCCACATGCAAATGTATATAGGCTTTTATATTCAAACTCGCACACAAACAGCGTCCTCCTAAACGTAAATTACACTTCTACATAATGTCCTCCTGATGCTGACGCATTTGCCTCAAAGCACATAAAAAGCAGCCTCTTTAACAGTAGGCCTATTGTCTGGTTATCTCCCGAACACACACACACACACACATCTGCTGAGCTGCATCTGTGTGTCTCCACCTAATGCATCCAACCATAGTGTGTGGCGCAATCAAATAATTCTGGAAATACACCGAAGTCTAAAATTACCTAAATTGCAGTGGGATTACTTGGAGGCGCATCGCGAAGCCAACATTCCTCTCTAGGATTCAGGTCTCAGGGTGAATGACTAACATTAAGGCGGGCTGTAATAGTGTGGTGAGATAAAATACAGGGAGGCACGTCTCTTGTGACTGTCAAGAGTACTTGTGAGCAGTACACTGCCGGGCACATGATGCACTGGGAGAGAACGAGAGAACCGTAAAGTCTTTGCTTAGAAGAAATGGCTGGTGGTTAGATGTGTTCATCGCCACCGGATTTTCAAAATAATGTGCCTTCTGTATTTTCTTGTTACTTAAATGTGCGACGACGGGAGTTTTGTCTTTTTTCCTTTCCCTCACGTGAAGTTCCTGTGTGTGTGTGTGTGTGTGTGTGTGTGTGTGCGCTGAAGGTTGTGAGACTCTCAACCCACGGAGATCTGTCAGCAACCATTGCATCATTTCACAACTGCATGGCCGCTGTTGGGAAAAAAACAAAAAAAAAAGCCAGACAATCTTTTCTTTAAATCACACTTGTTTGAAGTTGGTTCACACACCGATCTGAAAATCCCCCTTTTGTTAACTTTTCTTTCCCCCACCACCACCACCCCGCCCCACCATCAGCACCACCCGACCACCTCCCCTCTCACGGGTTAACCACAACATCAGATGTTAACGCTGGTGGGTCGGCGTACTGTAATGTTTAATGTGAGTCACTGATGACGTTGTCAAAACTTCCGTCATGGCTGTATTGTTTTTGAAGATTAGTTTCATCCCTGGTTCAACAGTGGTTATTATTATCCTTCCCTGAGTCCTGCTGTCCCTCCCATGGTTTGGCTTGGATGGGAGTGGTTTTGTTAGCGTGCCGTGTTTGTGTATGTACAGTATACTAGCTGATTTCTAATATTAAAACGTCTAATTCTGGTTCACAGAGTACAAAGTTCACTCTCGGAAGAGACTTCATTCAGCATCAAACCCCCCCCCACCAACCCCCCGGCTTCCATTGTCTTTTTGAAAACCCTCGACAGTCTCCGTTGGACGTTTCGAACACTTTGATGGCTTTGAGGAAGCAAACAGCCTCATAACGGTGCACTTCATCTTTTCTCAAAATAGTTTCCCAGCTCTCTTCGCTCACGGATCACTTATAGGCGGTTTAACCTGTCTAGGCGTTGTACAGGTGAGTCACATTTCCGTGTTTTTTGAGGCAGTAACAGATGTGCAGGAACAAGGGGTGCGGTGGATTTGCATACCTGTAGTATGAGTAACGAGGAATGGTTCACCAGATCCACCAAAACCAATATGAGTTCATTCATACATGAATGAATGGAGGTGAAGAGACACACACGATGATGCCCGGTGGGTTTCTGACCAGATGTGTTAACATCCATGAAATATCCATAACATTTGGAACAGCAGGTTGTAGCTTTAAACTAGTTGTTGCTGGGAAGTTCCAGATGCAAGCTCAGGTGTTGATAGAAGAGACATGTGCATTATGTGTGTTATTGATGTGCACAAATTCTCTTAAATGATCTCGAAACTACATTCAGACAACACATATGGCTGAGTCCACCTGAGCAGAGACTTGAGTCACTCTCCCTGTTGCAATTCTGACTTTCTCTGTGCTTTGCTTACATAGCCGAGCCGGTCGCGCAGCATGCCCTCATTGGCTACTTCAATGCCTGCCGCTCTCCTACTGTGGTTACAGCTGATAATGCCATAACGACTGACAGTGTTGCAGCGTAGCACCAACCCTCCGGTTTCCCCACACTGGTAGCTGTCAGCACTGTTGTCATTGTTTGCGCCATGTGGAGGCAATAGATGTGCTCTGAATTTCTTAGTTTAGCACCTTTAAGGAGTTTGGGGTGAAAGAAGGGACAGTTCTTCAGCTTGTGACTTCAGGGTTCATTGTTGTCCTGAGATGACACCAGATCAAAATGTGAAGTACCAGGGGGGCATTAAGGCCACTAAGAGGCACAGTTTTACTGCAGATACAAAAGTACTTTGTGAAATATTAATATTAGTTTTTGTTTGACAAAAGAGGCCAAACAGAGTTCTGGCGACAAGACTATAAATCTAAACAGATTTATTTCAGATTTGATGCCATAGATGGAAACATCCTGGACGATGGTAAGAAGGCTTTTCTTTGGGATTTCCAATTTTCACTAATGTCAATTTTATACACGAAGCGATTGATGGAGAAAATAATTGACAGACTAATCGATGATGACAGTAATCGTATTCTCCACAACGCCATACAAGGAAACATACTGTACAGTAAGTAAGTAGATGAAAGTCAGTGATGTGTCCGTACACATTTCAGATCTCTCACACAGAGCTGCTACATTTTAATCTAATTACAGAGGAACACAGGAGGGTGACCAGAGCCGTTAGAAACAGACCCTAAAACACACACACACACACACACACACACACTAGAGTATTAACCCTGCAATGAGTCCTCAGTGTAACACTCTGTGAGGCGAGAGTCAAGTAGGGCATTGTGGGAAATGTGGTTCTGATTGCAGCGGGGGTTAAATGTTATTATTACACTACAATCATGAGAGCAGAACAGAGCTTCTCACAGAATGATTTCCTGCATGCTGACAGCAGAGTTATATTTATTTATGTATGTATGTATGTGTATATGTATATGTGTATATATATAATTAATTAGTGCTGGGCAAGTTATCGCGTTAACGCATTCATTAATTAACGCCGACAATTATTTTATCGCCCGTTAACGCATTTTTTTTAATTTATTATAATTTTTTTTTTTTTTTTTTGTGGGATAAAATCCAGCAAACATCCTATAGTCAGTCATTTTAGTGCACCTATATGCTGAAATTCACAGTAAACGCATTCAAACGGCACAGATCGGGAGCAAGCGAAGGACTTTGAAAGTTAGCAGAAAGATTAACGTGAGACAACATCCGGTTTCTTCAGACGACCATCCGGTTTTCAGAATAAGATGCCAACAAAGTATGAATTATATTCACATTAAGTATAAAACATGCTACCTGCATCTCGTGAACCAAATGTTATTGCCCTTTTGTTCATATAGCAGTACTTTAAAATACAAGTGCGCAATACACTACTTTTGAATTCATTATTGAACTTTGCCATAACCATGCGATTAATCGCAAAAAATCCATGCGATTAATCGCGATTAAATATTTTAATCATTGCCCAGCACTAATATATATATATATATATTGTTTGGCTGTTTGTTGGTGAAACTCTGCAGACTGCACACCGACAGAGACTCTCATGTCGACCTTGAAGTCACTGAGCCGTCTGGTTTTGACAGACGAGTGCAGGACAGTAGGAAGGTCTTTGTTTCTCCACCTTTCTTACTCTCGCTAAGAATCACACAGGCTGAACTGAACACATGGCTCTTTAGATGTGTATCTCAGGACTAATCAGGAGGAAGACCATACTTCTGGTGTCTGAGAGTATGGTAATATAAATTCCAGGCACATTCGTGTGATTTATCATGAACGCTGTGACGCAGACTGGCCACAGAAGTGGATCACATCCATAATTGATTTTGTCCTGGTTTGTCCTCTCTTGTAACACACAACTGTGCATCTCTCAGACATTAGAGAAGTACTGTAAAGTCAGCTTCTTTGCACTATTTAAAGTGTTTCTGCTGCTTTAATCTTCATTTTGCATCTGGCCCTACAGTGTCATATTAATACATGTTGTGCTCAGTTTGACTGCAGTCTGTCTGCATATAAGCAGAAACGCTCTGCTGGTTCATTCTGATGTTGTTGTTGCTCTACTTGCTGAACTCCCTTTTAAAGGATACTATTGCTGATAAGTTAATTGCTGAGATCTGACAACTTTGTTCAAAATAAATCAGATGTGGCAAAAAACTGTGAGTCAGAGTTTTACAGACAAACTTCCTGGTGCAATTTTGTCCTACTCTTCTTGCCTCAGCGCAGTTTTCAAGTCGTTATTACCGACGTTTTGGGTGCACTAAAAAATGAGTGCCAACTTATCGTATTTACAACCTGCGTTATTGTCTTAAGGCTTGTGTTTCTTCCACCGCTGGACTTTGCGGTAGCGATGTTGTCGAGTTCCCAGACGATTATTTTGGTGAGTAATTGATAGAAATGATAAGCCAAAACCATGGAAACAAGACCTACGTTGTAATAACCACAATCGTCCTTTAAGTCAAGAGGTTCTCAATATCTGTTTTTAGCCAAGAACCCCTTTAAAGATAGAGAATATACCTTAGAATAATTTGATGTAACCTATTTTTTTTACTCTTCTATCATCTTTATGTGGAAGAACACAAGAGAAATGTAATGGAAAGATATGAGATGTGTATTAGAAAGTAATCTATAAACCCCAGTTGAACACCATTGAATCATAGAAAATCATGAGAAATTAAGTTTTCAGTTCCATGAAATAAACAAGTTAGTTTTCTTTATGATTTAAATTCAATATATTGAAGTGTTTCTCATGACTATAATCATGGTGATGTGTTTATTTCCCCATGTTTCCCACCACTGAAGTGAAGCGAGTGCTGCCGACAGTAACTCACCCCCTCCGTTCTTCTGACACAGGTAGGGGAACCTCCAGACGTTGCCCAGGCCTACAGAGAAGCCGACCTGGGCCAGGATGTACTGGAGCTTGCTGTTCCAGGCCGGGCGTTCCTCCTCCTCCTCCTCTCCGTCCGAGCCGCCTTCCTCCACGTCGCACTCTTTCCCTTCCCCGTCATGGTTGTCGACGATCAGCGAGCTCTTCTTGAAGGCATCGTCGCAGCCGTCCTCGTTGGAAAGCAGGTCCTTGACAGACTCCGTGACATCGTCGCCAAGCTCTCTCTTGACGGCCTTGCTGTTTTTGGGCATTTGATAAAGCGAAACAAGGGGCGAGGGGTGGAACGTCTTTTCTAGTTGGCTGGCTGGAAGGGCAGGGCTCGGCGTCTCGAGGGGGGGGGGTGGGGGTGGGGGGGGGGGGGAAAGTCACTTTTTGAACTTTGACGGGGCAAAGCTGCGGGTTTAGAGACGGTCTGCGGAGGGTTGAGTGAGCAGGAAGCGGTTTATTTCGTCATTATCACCAAATGTCTGCGGGGCGGAAGAGGAAACATTGCAGTTAGTAAACAGCCAATAAGAGTGATAGTTCTGGGTTCTGGAGGAGGTTGTGTCGGTGCTTTGTCATTTGATGAGCTGCTGCAAAGAGTCCAGTCATCAGTTTAGTCTTGTTTCAGCCTCTAATTTTCCTTCATAAATTGCTGTTTCACCCTGAATTACCTTTTTGTGTCACCAAAACCTGCTGATTTTGTCAAATGAAGACAAGAAAAGACTTTTTGGAAACCTTGTTTTAAAGATCTGAAATGTCAAATTAAAACCCCAAACTCTTATATTATCTTTACACAAAGCAGATGGACAAGGCAGTAATTCAACTGAAACACTTTTGTTTTATAGAAAACAAATCATTCATATTTTCACACCCTCACCATCTCAGTCCACAGAGAGAATTCCTGCTTTATCCGAGTTATTCTCACGTGGAAATCACATGACTGACTGGGGCAAACAAAAACAAATAAATCAATGAATGGGGATCATTTTATTACAAGTCATTGTTGTAAAAGAAAGATAAAAAATGAAGCCAGGCAACACTAGCCCGGTTGTGGACCGGTGACTGGTGACTGGGACAGGGACGGGTGGAGGTATGTGGAGACGATCACATTCCCAGCCTCCTGAATAATTGAAGGGAGGAGGAATTAATTTGCATACGACCCAAACACTTCTGTTCTCCTGCAGGATGGGGAAAGCCCTCGTATGTGGACCATGAAGGGTTCAAATGTCCCAAAATACAGATAGGAATGCGTGACACGCGCCGTTCCCCTCATCAAAAGGGTGTGAGGAAACAAAGGGTTGTCTGTTTGTTCTTTCTCATCTAACCGATATAACGAGCTGAGGAAGAGGACGGTTTCCATCCAAAGGGCGGGTTACGGTGCGCAACATCTCTGACTCTAAGTCTGCATCCTAGCGCGTTTTGGTTTACAATAATACACATTTTTAAAAATCTCCATAATAAAAAACGCATCGTCGGCGTGAAATGTCCCGGATATAGGCTCTTCCGATGCGACCATGTTGCAGAAATAGGCTACAGCATGCCCGGATGGGGTGGGCACCTTTCACCAGGATTAAATGATTAATAGAGTTCCTTTACCGCTTCCAGATTAGCCTGGTTTGGATAATGCAAAGGCCGCCGTTTCATAATCCAAGTGAACGCAACACAGCGTGATGCTGAGTAACCTTCACTGCACCTTTTTTGTTTTTGTTTTACGGAGGCGGTTATTATCGCATAATAATGAAGATGTGATTTTAAGCTGATGATGACTAAACGCACCAAGATAAAAGATTGTTTCCCGTCTGCACATGAATCAGGGATGACGAGGCCGACGGTCGGCTCCAATGAATGACGCAAAACAATGCGGATGGAGAAAATAACAATAATAATAATAATAATAATAATAATAAAATAAAAAGCAATAGTCACACGGGTGTCATGTGGCATCTACATGCACAATCTGAGGAATGCGCACACATTAATGTCCTCCCCTCCCACCCAGTCTGCATGACATCCACATGAAGTGTTTCATCATTCGCTTGCCAGCCACATCCTGCGCACTGGTACCTCAGTCAGCCTTACACACACACACACACACACACACACACAGGGCACAGCATGCCATGCCTTGTAATCATTCTCCTAATAAATCCCACTGAGGATGCCGGCTCGGGGTCCGGTACTCACCCGTGTGGAATAACAGTCGTCCTTCACTGGAATGATGGGTCTCAAGGAATGAAGTTGTGAGAGCACATGCACGGGGCCGTCATTATCACTTGCTTCGACGTTAGCTAGTCTTGCGGTTTGTGTCTGTCACGGTCTCCGATGCTCCGAGTTCTGTACGTCTCAGCCAGAGACATTGAAAGCTAAGAGGAGGGAGGGAGGGAGGGAGGAAGGAAGGGGTCCGCCTTCGACGCGCCCATCGCGGATCATCCCCTCACTCTTTCTCCATGATATATATTACCGCATACATGTTATACATCTCTATTATACGACACCGCATATCATACGCGGTAGTTTTATTCGGTTTAAGGTAAAAATCGTGTTTTTCTTTTCTACAACCCCCCCTGTTCTGCTTGGTACGGCCCACTACTACACGGAAAAAGGGGGGCTGGCTAGCGGAGGATTCGCAATGTGCCTCTGTTTATAAACGCTCGGTTCACTCTCTGGATGTGTATACACTTGTACATTCTGCCGATTTATTTCCAAACTGCGCTTTTTATATCGGAATGCTGTATTTAGAATTATGTATTTAGGATTTTGAAACGTAAAAAGCGAGGTGCTTGATCGAGGTCCACGTTTGCTGCGCGTCATCACACACGCGCACCCTTTTGAGGCTATTGCGGAAAAAAAAGAAAAATTAGCATATTAACCAGACGAGACAGATTTTTTTTCTTCTAAATCAGACGTATTCTATTATATGTATAACGGACTGTTTATTTTCTTTAAATAATGCAACATTATAGTCCATAAAGTCAAGGAAAATAAAATGGCAAAATTCAAAATATTCTGTTTTATTCAGGAAATGTATTGTGCGTTAAAGTGTCACCAGCGCATTTTCATACACAGACAAACTTGTGCTCTTTGTACAAATAAGGGATACACCATATACTAACTAATATAAATAAAACGTGTTAAAAAGTACTGTTGATGAACTGATAACAGGCTTAATTAATGGTTATGTATGATGAGTTAAAACAAAGAGGACAATATGGTAGACTTGCATTTGTAGAATAAGTGAAATCATGTTTCACCTCATGAGGTATATCTTTCTCTTAAGTGCAGCATATTGTTCCTATGATCTCACTGGTATTATCAAACTATATAATAAATACACAAATATAGTATGAGGTTAAAAGTTACATATCACCATGCTGTAACAGAGACAAGACCAAGTCTTTAATATGAGACGGTAATATTATTTATGTATTTATTTTAGGTAGTTTGTTACTTTGTACTTATACTTTACAATTTTGAGGGACATTTTTTTAATTCCTTTGACAGCAAAGATTTATTTACTTTGCAATAATAGCAAAACGATTAATTTGATGAAGTACAGTCACAGATTAAGCTACTTTACAGTATATGGCCATGGCACAACTGTGTTTAAGTATTTGGTTGGTGTACTTAAGAAACCCTAAGCTAAACCTTCTGAATAAAATGGTCTGACTCAAAACAAAACTGTAACTGGGCCATGGGAGGGAACTGTGCGAGTGCACTCATCCACCTCCCCATCGCAGTTTCAGGGTCACACTTCTGTTGTGCCTGCTTCACAAAACCCTTCCTGGTTTCACTTTGTGTGCACATGTAGCCGGACTTGTGCTATCATTCTGTGTCCTATTTCATCAAGATTTAAGAAAAGGTTTTGTGCTGATCCTTTCTGACTGTGTTTACTTATTAAACAATTATAAAATGTGCTATAACGTGGCTTTGAAATCCCGAAGGACAGCAACATATTGCATCTGGCTTTGATAACAGAGGAAGTAATAAAAAGAAGCAACCTATATCTCTGGAAAATTGTATTAGTTGCCAGCAAAAAGGCAATAACTAAAAACTAGTATTAAACCAAAGAATGCATCCATTGTAAAGGGATACATTTGAGATGGAAAAACTGATGTTTTGAGAAATAAGGGAGAGACCTTCCTGAGAACATGGGATAATTGCATAACCTTTACTGCAAACAATGAGTAACTCCTCACGCTCTGAATCTAAGGACAATATGGACTTCTAGACAGAGGAGGGACTTCGTTCCCCTGCTTTGGATTGTTTCTTTCCCTTTGTCTTTTGTAAAATATCTTTAACTTGTCACAGATCAAAAGTGACAAAAGCTACTGAAACTTATGGGGTGTTGCACGTTACTACTCCACTGTCTAAATGAACCTGATTGATCCATAATTATTATGTTGTGTGCAACGTCTCCGACACACAAGACCTGACCTGACTCAGTCTAAGAGGAAGTTAAGGTGACTTTACCTGGCAAATGGGAGAAGTGAGATTTCAAGACAAACCGGTTTTACTTTTTCTTTAGAAAACTACACTGGTTTTCTCTGGCTAAATCATTCAGTTCAATGCAAGTGTACATCGATAACTATGGCGTCACGCCAGTCTCCATTAATGAATGCACACAGAATGATTTACTAATGTATCTCTGATGCACACATTCAAATATTTCTTGTTTTAAATAAATGTAATAAATATATATATATATATATATATATATATATATATTGCTTCTGTGTGCATTCATTAATATTGAGACTAATGTGACCCCATAGCTAAGGAGAGACCGACACCACCCGTGTGTTTGTCCTGAGTTGCCCCTGAGTCTGGTACGATATCCACCTACAGTGTTTGAGGTGCCTCCAGGACATCCTCACAGTAATCTCACAGTCGACGTCAGGAGGTCTTTTCCGGGCCAAAATGTGTGTGTGTGTGAGAGTGTGTATCTGATGCTCACACAAATCCTATTACTTCCAGTTCATAGCCCTTATCGCCACTCTTTATGACTCCCCTCAAGGATGAAGAGTATTGTGTCGTATATCTACACGCTCCTCCTGATGTGAACTCGTACAAAATGTCCAGGATATTGCCTGCTCGCTGCACTTTTTCCCTCTCTGCAGCTCAGCGAGAGCCGCCTAAGTAACACGCTTATTGATTCCTGCTAATAGCCTCCATCTCATCAGAATGGCCGCACAGAAACCCTGAGAGCAGTGAAAGGAAACCGATGCTCATGTTAATTTCTATTTGTGCATATACTGTATGTGTATTTTGTTTGGCTGATGACACTGTAGGTCACTTATACATTATTTAGCTACAAGTCACCACCCCTTCAGAAACCAAGAGTAGATTTATTGTTGCACAATCACCTGATCTCTTCAGAGAATAGCGCTGTGGATTATTGTTGAACAATAGCTGTAAAAATGTGGTTGCTTTTTTTTGTCTTTTTCCCTTTTCTGAGTTTGTTTGAGTAGATCACCTCCTGTGTGTGTGTGTGTGTGTGTGTGTGTGTGTGTGTGTGTGTGTGTGTGTGTGTGTGTGTGTGTGTGTGTGTGTGTGTGTGTGTGTGTGTGTGTGTGTGTGTGTGTGTGCAGTGGTGAACGATGTGTTCAGATAACCTGCATGAGGTAAATAAGAGGTGACAAGTGTCTAAAGCCATTCAACTCTGGCTGTTCTTAGACACAGCATGCTAACAATGACAATGCTAACATGATGTTCAGCAGGTATACTGTTTACTATTTCACCATCTTAATTAAGTGTGTTGTCATGCAAGCATGGGCTCATATATTGCTGCAGGAATGAGTCCTAAAACCTGAGTTAGCATGTTTTCTCTTCAGGTTCCTACTTGGCTCAAAGTCGTTTTTTTTTTTTATTGGGTTTTTGATTTGATGCCTGAATCACGATCTGAGGTTAATGCAAGCTGAAGTCGAGATGAAATGAGAAATGCCTTCTTTAGTCTGGCTAGCTGCCAGGCTGATGATGTTTTTTGTTTTGATGCTAGGACTTCCGAAGAAGCTGGATTTTCGGTTTTGTTTGTAAAACTTTGGGTTAAAACCTTGTTGACAGTTAAGCTGACGCTGTCTCTGATCGCTTACTATCTAATCCTGTTATATATGATTGTTTTTAAAAAGTCATATGAGGCGAAACACAAATATTAAAAACAAGCGAGTTGTACTTTCTACTAATCAGTCTGCAATCTCCATGCCAATAAATGCCTCTGCATATTATTTTAGGATGATTTATTCTTTTATTAAGGGGTAAAACTATGTTTTTTTTCAGTGAGTTCTTGGCTTGCACACAATATGCCCGTGTTGTGGTTACGTGTGTTTTTGCTGTAAACCATTTGGTCCAGTAGAAATGTTGGCATCTTTAAGTGAACGGTGCAGCTAAAATACATGACCCTGATTGATGATTGGTTCAACGAAGAGCCTTGAGAGGCTGAAGTGTAACTTTTCAGATTCATCCTCTGGAGACCATGAATGACACATTTACAAGGTAGTCAAAGAGGTGGACCACCTGAGGAGCCATGCAGCTACGATGGCAAAAAAACGTCAATAGGCTTACTTCTTAATCACTGCAATTAGGATCAGGTGAGGCTTCCATTCACTAAATTACTCTTTTGTCACATCTAAGTGAAAGCAAGCCTTTGTAGTTTCATGAGGCGAGGAAATGGGACATGAAAGAGGATGTTGGTCTGGAGGTCCAAACCAAAACCTAGCTGGTATCTCTGCTGCTGGTTCAACACCCAGCAGGCCGTCCTCTGTACATCCACTGAAGATGCAGTGGACACACAGGACCAGCTGAGGCTGAGCAAAGCTGACAGGCTTGGGTTAACCCGATGGGAATTGGATGCAGTGGATTTGTGTATGAAGGTGATTGTGAGTGATTCAGGTTTCTTGTGCTCAGGGATTTTGTAAAGTCATAAAGCAGCAGCTGAAAAGAGCCACCGTCAGCTTTGGCTAATAAGTATGACAGAAAAAGATGAAGTATGTCCAGATTAAGTTGCGCATTTTGGCCATCTTGTTGTTGAAGAAGACTTGAAACTAGAGATTGAGACCATAAACTCATGTTTACAATGTTTACTGAGGTAATAAATCAAGTGAGAAGTGGAGTAATTTTCTCAGACTTCTATACAACCAGAGGAGTCGCCCCCTGGTGGACACTAGAGAGAATGCACGTTTATGGCATTTCCTCATTGGCTTCACTTTTCAGACCCCGAGGTTGCCACCTGGTCCAAAAACATAGTATGTTAAACATTCCAGGATGGCCTACTGCATCCAGTCACATTTTGCTTTTCTCTTGTTTTAGTTTCATGAAGGTCACACATTCGACAAGCATGCATTGTGTCGGGGATGTTCCTGGA